CTGGTACAACATTTTTGGAGGGTAATTTGGCAGTAGCTTTATATAATGTACTTACATTTTGACTCAGCAATCTCATTTTTTGAATTTACCTCGAGATATACTTTTAACAATATGAAAGCACATAGACACATGATTATTAATTGCAGCATTGTTTATAATTGTGAAATATTAGAAACAACTTAAATGCCAATACATAGGAGTGTTGTTGAGCAAACTATGGCATATCCACACAGTGGAGTACTAGACGGTTGTGAAAATTAATGAGGAAAATCTCATAAATTAAAATGTGATTTCTAGAATATGTTTATCATTAAGTTAAAAAGAAGAAGAAGATTTTATATTATTCTAATTTTATGTAAGAAATGAAGGGAAATAATAGAACATGCATATCTGCTTATTTCTACACAGAAACACAGAAAATTAAACTAGAAACAAATGAAATTGGCTACCTACAAGGGGCGAAAGAGTGGGGAAAGGACGAAACTTTATCATTCCTGTGTATTTATTTTTGTATAGTATTGACTTTTTATAATCATGCTAATGTTCTACATATTAAAAAGGTAAAATAAAATCAACAAAGAGAGGAGAATAATAATCCTAAAACCAAATGAAATGAAACAAATGAATCCAACTACAGTTTTCCCCCCTTTATCCATAGAGGATATGTCCATGACCTCCACCGGATGCCTGAAATCACGGATAGTACTGAACCCTATATATATAATGTTTTTTCCTATACACATATACATACTTATTATAAAGCTTTATTTGTAGGTTAGGTACAGTAAAAGAGTAACAACAATAACTAATAATAAAATTGAACAATCACACAGCTTCTCTTTGGCACATCTGAATTGCCAACTTCATTACTCTTGCACTTTGGGGCCATTATAAGTACAATTAGGGTGACTTGAACACAAGCACTGCGATACGATGACAGTAGATCTGACAACCAAGACTAATGGGTGGGTAGTGGATACAGTGTGTGTACATTGGACAAAGGAATGATTCACATCCCAGGCGGGACAGAGCGGGATGGTGAAAGATTTCATCACACTACTCAGAATGGTGCACAATGTAAAACTTACAATTGTTTATTTCTGAAATTTTCTATTTAATATTTTCAGATCACAGTTGACCCCAGGAAGCTGAAATCACAGACAGTAAAATTTTGGATAAAGGAGAACCGCTGTATACTTCAAATAACTAACAACCACACTCAAGGGAGAAAAAAAATTCCCAGTATTTTTAGCACAGTTTTTTGGTAGATTCTCAACCTAAAAAAAAATGAAAAGAACAGAACATCGACAATAGCTTGAACTCTTCTTAGTAGTCCTGTTTTTTTGAAGAGATGTGGAAACAGCAATTATGAAATTAATTTGTGTCACTTTTAATTGTGAAAAGAAAAAGCTATTTGTAGTGATGAACATATTTGAAATTAGCCACAGTAGCTGCCAAGAGGAAAAAATGAAAATCTATAAACAAGTCACAGTATATTTTTCGAGGGTGTAATACATTAAAATGTTCTTAGATATTTTTAACTTTTAGAATATGTGCCATGAAGATCTATTGCAAACGGCGAATGAAGGAACAACTATCAAGAAAATCTACAAAAATTTTATAAAGCAAGAGTCTGTAGGATTTGAACCAAGTTCACTCCCTCCGTTTTCCCTCCCCACTCAGCAAGGTACAGACTACACTCCAGATTTCTGCAGGTCCCTCTCCTCTCAACTCCCAATCAGAGAGCTTTCTTCCTGAGGAAAGCAGTATGTCAACATTTCTCATTCTTCCTCCAGCTATGTGTTGTTAAGGCTGAGTCCCAGGCAAATGCAGTTGAGAAGTAAATGTTACCTGCTTTCACCCAGCCCCCACTTGTGCGACAGAAACTCTACCTTAGGTGCAATGTGCTGATCACCATGCCCTTTCCCTGGCTCATGAGGTGGTGATTCCATTTCAGGCTGATGTTCCCCACTGAGTGTTCAACTCCCGCCTCGATCAGCGGTGTCACTCAGAAATAAGCTTGCCATTGTCCCTAACCCCAGCTCCAGAGTCTTGGCTCAGATATTTTGCCTAGAGGAAGAAGCAGACCATAAAAAAAATAGCTCCTAATATCTTTCCAAAGGAAATGATTTTATTTACAATAGAGCATGGAGAAGCTCAAACCTAAGGACACTTTCAAAAACAGTGGAGTTTGTAGTGAAAGGTCCTGGTTAGGGGACTCACAAATTTAATGAGAGTACAGACTATAGGCCAGGTAGCTGGAAAGAGAGAACCAGGAGTAAGAGTTTTGAGGAGCCTTTCTGGGGTCAAAACAAATATCAAGCATAAACCTCAGAAACTGTTCTTCAAAAGACTAAAAATGAGTTTAGCGGGTTGGAAAATATAAATCAATAAAAAAATCAATAGTATTTTATACACTTGCAATGAATAATCCAAAAAATGAAATTAAAAAAACAATTCCATTCACAATGGCATCAAAAAGAATAAAATACTTAGGAATAACTTAGCCAAAGAAGTGTTAAGACTTGTAAACTGAAAACTACAAAACATTGTTGAAAGAAATTTAAAAGATCTAAATATATGGAAAGATAGCCTATGTTCAAGGATTGAAACGATTAATTTTGTTAAGATGGCGATAGTCCCCAAATTGATCTCCAAATTCAATAAAATCCCAGTCAACATCCCAGCTGCCTTATTTGCAAAAAGACAAGCTGATTTTAAAATTCATATGAAATTGAAAGGAGCCTCACATAACCAAAACAATCTTTGAAAAGAACACAGCAGAAGGACTCACACTTCCTGATTTCAAAACTTACTACAAAGCTACAACAATCAAGACAATGTGGTACTGGCATAAGACTAGACATATAGACCAATTAAATACAATTGAGAGTCCAGAAATAAACTCATAGTCTATGGTCAACAGATTTTCAAAAAGGGGGCCAAAATCATTCAATGGGGAAAGAATAATCTCTCCAACAAATGGTGCTTGGACAACCAGATATCCACACGCAAAAGAATGAAGTTGGAACCCTACCTCACAGCATATATAAAAATTAACTAAAAATAGAAAATAGACCTAAATGTATAAGCTAAAACTACATAACCCATAGAAGAAAGTATAGAGTAAATTGTCACAACCTTGGATTTAGCAAAGTAGTCTTAGACACGACACCAGAAGCGCAAGCAACGAAAGAAAAAAAATAGATAATTTCTACTACATCAAAATTTACAACTTTGTGCTTCAAAGAACACCCTCAAGAAAATGCAAAAAAAAAAATACAGAATGGGAGTAAATATTTACAAATCATATATCTGATAAGGGACATATACCTAGAATATATAAAGAACTCTTACAGCTCTGTAATAAAAAGACAAATAATACAGTTTCAAACTGAGCAAAGGGTCTGAGACTACATTTCTCCAAAGAAGGTAATACAAATGGCCAATAAGAATGTGAAAATATTCACATTGTCATTAGTCATCGGGGGAATTCAAATAAAAACCACAATGAGATACCACTTCATATCCAGTAGGATTTCTAGAATCAAAAAGTCAGAAAATAACAAGTATTGGAGAAAATATGTTAAAACTGGAAACTTCATACACTCTGTTTAAACCTAAGAGTTCAAAGCACATGTCCAAACAAAAACTTGTACACAATGATTCATAACAGCAGTATTCGGAATAGACAAAAGTTAGATACAACCCAAATGTCCACCATCTTGATGACTAGATAAATAAAATGTTGTCTATCCACACAGTGGACTATTACTTAACCACGAAAAGGAATAAGGTACTGATTCATGTTACAACATGGATGAATCTTGAAAACATTGTGGTAAGTGAAAGAAGTCATACACAAAAGTCCACATATTGTATGATTCCATTTATATCAACTGTCCAGAATAGGGAAATATGGAGACAGAAAGTAGATTAGTGCTTGCCTGGATCTAGGAGGCAAGAGGGACAGGAATGTTGGCTAAAAGGAAGGAGCTTATTTTTGAGGTGATGAAAATATTTTAAATTTATGGTAATGGCTGCACAACTCTATGACTACACTAAAAATCATTGAATGGTACACTTCAAGTGAGTGAATTATATGGTATGTGAATTACATATCAATAAAGCTGTTTTAAAAAACAAAAATGAGTAAAGCAATTATAAAAGATTACATATAAAAAAATACAAAGGATTTGAAGAGGCGCTTCCCAGAAGAGGAAATGCAAATGGCCAATGCACCAGACATGGAGTTGGCCTAATTAGTAGTCAGGAACATGTAAAATAAAGCAGAGACGCCTTTTTACTTAACCACATCAGATTGGCAAGAATTACGAAACAATATAACATACAATGCTTGATCTTTTCACAAATTGCTGACCAGAACTCAGATTGGTAAATATTTTTGCAAATTGCCTATAATACCTATGTCCATTACATTTAAAATGGTCGTACTCTAAATTCCTAAGATGACTTCTAAGAACTTATCTCATGTAAATAATGTATGCTTGACTACACATAAGAAAAGGTTTATTGCAGCATTGTCATGGCAAAGGAAGGATGGTTGGAAATGGAGAGATGTCTGTGATACTTCGTTAAATGCAAAAATTGAGTGTCAGAGTAATGGTCCAATTTGATCCAATTTTTGTAAAACCGAAAGGCAATAAATGTGTATATGTATGCATATATGTTTTATTATGCATGTATATATGTATAGGTGTATATGCATATATGTATACATATATATACATGTATATTTTCATGGAAATCCAAGTGGAAGAATATATAGCAAGCTGTCATGTTAATATCTTGGGGAGGGAGAGGGACAGATAATTATGGGCTTTCTTTTTGGTGTACATTTTTGTATTGTTTCCCGAGTAAATGAAAGGGCATTACTTTTGCAATTTGAAAGATAGATAACATTTTTTAATTAAGAAGAGAGGGTGGGCGCAGGAATTAGGAAGGAAAGGAGAGGTTGTCAGCCGTTTCTGTGTGCGCTCCTCTTATAGACAGTACGGCGGCTCCGGGCGTCGCGTCTACGCGGGGGATTACAGTAACCCGGTTGTCAGTGATGAGTCAGAGTGCGTGGTGCTGATGCTGCTGCCATTTCATCACCTCTGTGGGCGCAGCATCCATCCCTCAGCTCTCCCTGCGCCTGGGCCTACCTCCCCTCGGGCTCCCAGGCAAGCGATGCCCTCGCGACGGATCTAGATCCGGACTGAGCCACGCTCCGCGAGACCTCGGCGGGACGCCCACTCTCGCCGCACACGGCTTGGGCCAAGGAGACCTGCCAAGCCCCGGCCATGGAAGCCATCTGGCTGTACCAGTTCCGGCTCATTGTCATCGGGGATTCCACGGTGGGCAAGTCCTGTCTGATCCGCCGCTTCACCGAGGGCCGCTTTGCCCAGGTTTCGGACCCCACCGTGGGGGTGGATTTTTTCTCCCGTCTGGTGGAGATCGAGCCAGGAAAACGCATCAAGCTCCAGATCTGGGATACCGCGGGTCAAGAGAGGTTCAGGTAAGAGGGCAGCCTGGGCCCGTGAGCAGTGGGAGGGTCTTTGGAGCTTGTACAGCCTCTGGGAAAAGAGGACTTCCTGGTCCTGGTCGCATCCCCTAAGGATGCTACCGAATGTCTGGGGGGTTCTGCTTAAGCCCACCTTCAGCTAGCCGGGAGTTCTGTGCAGGGAGAGAAGCGCCCTGGCAGGGAAGGCCGGTCAATAATACGTATTGCTTGCACCACAACTCCACCAACCTGCCCCTTGGTGGCTAACGAACCAGCTGGAATTGATCACTGTAATTCATCAATGTCAGTCCCTATGCTTTTAAAAATATTCCCAGATCATCCCAACATAAGCGTCAGATCTAGAGAGATGATATATAGATAGAAATAGAGATACACATAGGTACAGATATAGATATATTATGTCATATGAATATACACCCAGACATATGAAACAGCCAGATACTGATGATTGATACCTTCTTGCGACCAGCACACATTCAGTGATCATCCACTACATGTCAGACATGGGGCTTGTTCCTGAGGAAACTCACACAAGGGGATGCCATGTAAACAAAACAGACACAGGCCCTTCCCTCTTAGAACTTCTGTGCTAGAATAATAGGAGAAATAGATAACTGGCAGTTACACAAAAGAGTGCCTTGTTTATATTTGTATGCCCACTGCCTACTATAACTCTGAGCACATAATGAATAATCAATGAACAGGTTTAACTTTCTCTTACAGCCCTTTCCTTTTCATTTGTAATACACACACACACACACACACGAGGGAAGGCTACCTGGAGATGAGGACTGATGAGTATGGCAAGAAAAGCCCAGGGAGAGGAAACCAAATATATAAAGACAGAAATGTGAGAGAGCAATGTACACAGAAAACTTTGAGAGAGCAGTTTGAGCTAAAGTCACATAGAGCATCAGAAAGTAGATCGAGAGGACTCAATGGCCCATGCTTATGATCATTTATTCACTTATCTTTTGAACACTAATTGAGCAGATACTGGTTAGGGAGTCGAAGAGGGGTAGAGAGAAAACTACAAACTTAAGTTGTCTCCAGCTCCCCACTGCCACAAACAACACTGTGGCAAATATCCTTGTACAGGTTCACTTTGAACTTGTGAATGCGATTCTCATAAGTGAACAAAGGTGTCTTTTATGTTTTTTGGAATATCTATGTGAACAACAGCCTTTTTCATATTCACTGCTTATTATTATTGGGTGATATCGATTTGTAAGAGTTCTTTTTACATTAGGAATATTAATCTTTTTCTGCCATGTATGTTGTAAAATATTTTCCCAGTTTGTCATTCGTCTTTGAACTTAGTCTAAGAAAAATTTTTGATGCACAGAAGGTTCTCATTTTTATGTAGCCTTATGTCGTGCTTAGGAAGGGCTTTGTCGCGTTCTAAATCCTAAGATAACAGTGTATTTTAGTTTTGAATGGGATCTACAGCTTGCTTATTGATGTCCTCAGCCAAGCTGTTCACAAATCAAAAGTTTTGTTTGATCATGTCGAATTTTCTGATACACTTACTATTATCCATGAATGTTCAAACATAAAGGAATTAGAAACGCCTTCATTCCCCAGGGCTGATTTGCCCAGTTCTGAAGACTTGAACTCTTTCCTAAGTTTTGGTCTTACCATCATCTAGTTTGGACTTTGATCCCCCAGACAATGTTAGTTCTGTTATCATTGGGCCATTTACCCTAAACCTTTTCATTTGTAATTATATGTATACTATATACAGAAGAAGGAAGGCTACCTGGAGAAGATGAGGCAGATGAGTATTGCAAGAAAAGCCCAGGGAGAAGAAACAGAATGTATAAAGACAGAAGTGCGAGAGTCCCTCATTCTTTCTCTTCTTCATCCAAGAAAACAGAAATCCTAAAAATCTACATAGATTAAAAAAAAAAAAACAGTAGTCTAAAGCAAGTGATTGTGGAAGCAAATAGTTCTACACCCTCTAATAAGCTCTAAAACACTCTAAGCAAAGTACCATAATGCATATTGATAATGAAGCTCCTCAAATCAAGAAGTTAAAGTAGATGAGGTTTCTTCTATTTAAGAAGTACAGCAAATGTATAATAGGTTTTAGACAGATTCTAATTACAATGCTTTAAATAAATCATGTCTTTTTAAGGGGAAGCTTGGTGATTTAGGCAGGTTTCCCAGCTGGTGGCTCCTTATTCAGCCTTTCTAAAGTGTGTCAGGAAGTATGTCTGATAGGCACTTTGCTCAAGGCCTTTGCAGATCATCTCTCTTTTTCTTATTCCCAATGGCCTAGAAAATAAAAAACAAAATTGTGTTTCTCCTCAGAAGGGATTAAAGATACCTTTTAGATTAAAATTAATAATATTAATAATAATAATAATAATAATAATAATGTAATAGAAAGACAAACATGGTAATGATAAACGGAAAAAAAGGAGTGTATTTCCATATACCCATGTACTTATGAGCATTTGTCAATTATCATAAATTCATTTTTTTTTAAATTTTGTTTCAACTACTGGAATCTGTAATGAGCTCTCCAGGTCACAGAAAACTTTAACATACATTATTTCATTTTGCCTTATGATAACTGACTTAGGTATCTCCTTTTGCAGAAAAAGAAGTCTCATTGAGTTATTCAGATGTGGGGGTGGGAGAGTTGGCTGTGGTTCTGCCTGAACTGAGGGAAAATGCCTGTGAGTCCATGAGCATTCATTTCTAGAAGACGCCATCTCAAAATATGGCCCAATTGAAAATGTCCATGTCATCATTGTTATGGAATGGCATGTATTATGTTATTAAAAAATAAATAAATAAATAAATAATAACTTTTGCTAAAGAACTGTGTCAGTAGCCAGAAACACTCAGACTACACTGAGTTCATTGAAGCACAGCAGTTTGGGCATGGCCTTTATTTTTTACTTCTTTCTTGTGTTTTAGATCCATCACTCGCGCCTACTACAGGAACTCAGTAGGTGGTCTTCTCTTATTTGACATCACCAACCGCAGGTCCTTCCAGAATGTCCATGAGTGGTTAGAAGAAACCAAAGTACACGTTCAGCCCTATCAAATTGTATTTGTTCTGGTAGGTCACAAGTGTGACCTGGATACACAGAGGCAAGTGACTCGCCACGAGGCAGAGAAACTGGCTGCTGCGTATGGCATGAAGTACATTGAAACATCGGCCCGTGATGCCATTAATGTGGAGAAAGCCTTCACAGACCTGACAAGAGACATATATGAGCTGGTTAAAAGGGGGGATATTACAATCCAGGAGGGCTGGGAAGGGGTGAAGAGTGGATTTGTACCAAATGTGGTTCACTCCTCAGAAGAGGTTGTCAAATCAGAGAGGAGATGTTTGTGCTAGTCAGCCTTTTTAATTTCCAAAACGTGCTCTCTCACCTGAACTTAAAAGTGATGGAAATGAATATGATCCTTGTGTGACTGAAGAGAACTCAACCTCCATTTTGGATACCAAGTGAGCCTCCTTCCCGAGGGGCACTCTCATAGGTTGTGGGCAGGTGGATGGGGGAGTGCTGTGACCGAGGGACTGAATTACTGACATGGGCCAGACACTGTTTTGTGGCTCATGCTGGGCAGTGGCTGCTCCATGTGCCATTTGTGGACCACATGTCAAGGGCTTGAGGTTTGGGGAGCCAGGCCTCCCCAAAATATACCCACAGACAAGACAACTATTTCTTGGTATTTCAGCTCCTTCATAGGTCGCAAACATAAAAGACATATGTAAGGGGGAAAAAGTACCACGTTGGGAGCAATTAGCGAAACTAAGAAAAGACTGAGATCAACTTAATCAGTGAGAATATGCTACACGAAGTGTGTGTGCTGGGTTTGGTTAAAAAGTACCAATTAGCTTCTAATCAGCTCATCTGTCAAATGAGGGGCATGAACCAGCTATTTACTAAGACCCTTGCGAGGCCTGGTGTTCTAGTAAAAATGGTGTGACTATGAAAAGGGAAGCTATTTACACACTGTTATTATCACATTGGGGAAAATGTACACCCTTGTGATAGAATAACGAGCTATGTGAAAGAAATTGTCCCATGCGAAACATCCTGTAAGTAGAAGAGAGAAACAGTAACCCAAACGCCATACCCCCTTTTCCCTCTGACCATGCCTGGGGTTTCACTGCATTGGCGACTGCAATCTAGAAGTAAACAATGTGCCTGTCTCTTCAGATCATGGTAGCAACACAGGGTTTGCCGAGGCAAACACTTGTTCATCAAGCCTGTACTGAGTACCCGCTCAACAGGAGGCGCTATAACCCTTGCAAACACGTTACAGTCACTTGAATTACTTATTTGATGATCATAACAGGCCTGTGAGGTTTTCTTCCCCATTTTACAAAAGTAAACTAAGAGGCAGGAGACTCACTTGGCCAAGGTGAAGGACTGTGACTCCTAGTTCTTGTTTTACTGCATTATCCTGCCGTCATATGAATGAACTGTTATTAATTTGTTCACTTTGGAAGAGATATGACTGTAAATAAATGTTCTCTACATGTTAGGATATGTTTCCTTATTGATTACAACTCAACTATAATCTTGAGGGAACCTAGGGGTGAATCAAAGGTAAAGCCCATTCAGGTATTATTGACAAGAGGGCTTTAAACAAGTGAAAAATTGCACAACTGAAAACACATTAGAACTGTGTGGGCTAGAAGTGTTCTTATCACTGAAACACAATGAGCATATTATTGAAAGGAACCAAACACAGCAATGGGAATATTCACCTCATAATGACCTTGGCCACCGGTTTGCCATATACCTATACTAGGTTCCTGTCTACCCTAGAGAGTCAGCTCTTAATTCTCAGGTGAACAGACAGACAACTGCATCAGAAAATTGGAATGGTTGGCTTAAGGTTCCATTATCTTCTTGAAGAGAGGTGATGCTTTAAATTATTTTTTGGATTGTAGCCAGTTCGGCTAGGCAAAAGCCATACTTTTCACAGTAAGAAAACGATTCTGATTAGAGTCAGGTCTCACAGTCGTTGTGATGGGAAAGCCTGAGAATGGCAAATTGCTTTGAGGTATAGTGTTAAACTTCAGTGTGAATGTGACTGAATTTGAAAGTTTGGGAATTTACTTCAGCCAGAATAAAGAAGCCACATAATGAAAATTGTGGAAACAAACCACCTTGGACCAACCTGCAGCATCGACTACAAGTGAACCAATCATCATCTCTGCATTCGTTTAACATGACCAGGCTTGGGTGGAGTAATTAAGTTGACAGTTCTGTGATTGTAGAAGGCAAATAAAAGATGGTAAATTGGGTTAACACAAAGTTTATCAACTACTATACTTAATTATGTTTAAAAGATTCTGAAAGCAAGATTATCCAGTGGATAAATGAAAGTTAACTGGATTCTGTCAGTTCAAAAAACAAAAAAAACTTCTCTACAGTTTTCTTAACTAAAATACATTAAATGTATACTTTTCCCATTCCTTGCATTTTTTAGGCAGGTTTAAAAATACTCAGCGTAGATCCAGCAGAGGTGGCTGAGCTTAATTGCTTAAACAAGTCCTAGAAACTTTAAAAATCATTTTTGTAGAATTCAGTGCTGTCGTCACTGCAATAAGTGGGTTTTAGAAAATAAGTGTGAAAAAAATCAGGTGTTAATACAATACTAAGGATAAAGCTTTAGAAGCTATTTTACTACATAGGTAAAGAAAAGATAAACTAACTTGTAACAAAGACCACAACTGCATGTTGGATTAGATTGTCTCATATTCCAGAATAAAATGTACTGTATACTTTTCCTCACTTTGTTGTGCACTGTAATGAAATGTGAAAAAAAAAATGTTTTCTTTAACTGTATGTGAATGAAAATATGCTTGTATTTAGTAAAATGGTTGATTATGTGACTGTGAGATTCCAAGTGTGTGTTGTAGCTATTTCCAGAATCTGTCAACTACAGTGTAGTAACCACTACCAAGGGTATCAATTAGAGATGACATATACTATGCACTAGTATTCACCAGTATATCAAAGTCACAGAGAGAATATGATTTTTTAAAGTTGTACGATCATCATGTTGAAACTCACAACTACCTGGGAATCTCATGCCAGCCACTTTTAGAGAAGCTGATTCTCTCAAGCCTAAATCTGAATCCTTGCAATTTTTAGTCAAGGATTTTAATTCTGAGGCCAGGTAGCTGATTGATTACAAACATAATCTTCCCTGGAAAGCCTTTTTTTTTTTCTCCAGGCTAACTTGCCTCGGCCTTTTAAAGTCCTACTATGGAGTGCTTTTTGCGTTAGGATCACTTGCAGTGTGGGGTCCAGATTGGAACACAATAGTTTGGAACATTGCCTAGGATTTATGGTACATATTAAGGGAACGGTAAAAGGAGAAAAGATATCTGATTCTGAGTCTGGGCATGAGTAGGCCGAGCTCTGCACAGCTTTATCACGTTCATAGTCATGAGTTAATGAGGGAGGATGGAAGGAAAGAAGGAAAGAGCAATGATACAGCAGCATCTTAATATAGTTTATCACTCTATTCTCCTTAAAACACTCTCCCGAGCTTGATCATCTTAAATTATATTAATTCCCTTGGCAACCTCATTCAGTCCCATGGCTGTAAATACCACCTATAAGCCAATGAGCCTTAAATTTTATCTCCAACTTGTCTCTTTGGACTCCAGACCTTTATAATCAACTTCTCTACCTGACATTTCCATTTGAATGTCTATCAGACATTTGAAATTTAACATGTCCCAAAGCAAGCTCCTAACCTTCTCCCCCAAATTTGTTCCTACCATAGCCTTCCCCTCCTCAGTAAGTAGCAACTTTGTCCTTCCATGTACTCTTGTGAAAAACCTTGGAGTCATCCTAGACTCCTCTCTTTCACAGTTCACATTTTATCTATCTGGAAGTTATGCTGGCTCTACGTTAAAAGTATAACCAGAATCTGACAGCTTTTCTCCATTTTCACTGCTAACACACTAGTCCTGGCCGCTATCATTTGTTGCCTGACTTATTGTGATGGCTGGTCTCCCTGCTTCTACTCTTGTCCCCCACAATCTATTCTCCGCACAACAGCCAGAGGGAGCTTGATAAAACAGTTATAAGCGATTATCTAATTCTCTGGTGGTTATCCATTTTACTCAGCTTAAAACCCAAAGTCCTTCCAATGACCTGCAGAAGAACCCTTATAAGTGAATTCCATCCCCATCTCATAATATCTGTAACCTCATTTCTTACTGCTGTCCCCTTGATCATCCTACTACATGGGTTTCTTTCCCGTTCCTCAACCACACCAAGCACGTTCACACCTCAGGGCCTTTGTATTTACTCTTCCCTCTATCTGGAATTTTCCCTCATCTCCATCAAGTTCTGGAACCAACAGCTTCCCAAATCTGCAAGCAGCTTCCTGATCCTAGAGAAGATGTGGCTGCAGAAGTTCTTCCTAAGAGCTCAACGTAAGTTTAACTCTTTAGTCTTCCGTGGGGAACCACAGAGTTTGGGGCATACAAAAAAGAGAAAGGAAATTTATAGGAGAGAATGGGAAACCTGGAGACTACAGTTTCATCGGGAGTAGACAATAGTATCACAATGCAATAGTGAGTTCGGAAAGATAAGAACTAAAATATGTCCATAGGACTTGAGGGAGCAGGAAGTCATGAGTGACCTTTGCCAGCACAGTGTTGGATAGAATGATTTCTTCCTACTACAAACCTCTCAGGAGTCAGTGTTGTCAGTTCTGTTGGAGGCCCAATTCTTTTCTCGCTTGCCATTCTCTCCTCTCCCTAGACAATCTTACATACCCTTATGATCTGTTACTGTCTTTGCATTGATGACTCCCAAATGAAGGACTCCAGCCCACTCTTCTGAGCATTATACTGATACAGCCAACTTGCCTACTAAGCACATCCACAAATTCCTCAAACTCAACATATCCAGCATGAAATCAACATCTATGAAAATGCGATCTTTCCACCCCAGTCTTTCTCACCTCTGTAAATAACACCACTATCCACCCCTTTGTTCGACACAAAAACTTAAGAGTTATCCTAAATTCCTCCCTTCCTCTCACCTCCCATAACAAATCCATCATCAAGCGCTGTCAGCTCTATTTTCACCATATATCTAAGTCTGCCATTTTTCTTCATCTCCATTACTATTGCCTTTATCCAAACCACTATCAACTCTTTCGTAAACTACTTCAATATCTTCCTAACCGGTCTTCGTACTTCTACTCTTACTCCCATGATACATTCTCAAGAACCAGAATAATCTTTTAAAAACAGATATAAGATCAAGTCCTTCCCCGGCTTAAAACCCACCAATGGTTTCTCATCACATTTAGAACAAAATCTAAATACACCTTACATTTCTTAACATGACTACAAGGCCTTGCATAATCTGGTCTCTGGCTACTTCTCCAATTGTAAGTTCCATGAAAGTAATAATCGTATTC